CGTCCTTCCAGAGAGAGGATTCCTGGCTGGTGCTCCCCCCTCCCTGCCTCAGCCCCCTCCCCAGCCATTAAAGCATCACCAACTTCCAGAAAACCTCCAGCTGCAAAGGGAACAACCGCAGAGGGACCAGGGCTTTCCCCGTCCTCCGCCCCAGGCACGGTGCTGCCTGCAAAGCGCTCAGACCTAATCAAGATAAAGAGGAATGCTGGATTTGTGATGATTTCCATCATATTGAGTCTTTTAGTTTAATCTTTTGGAGGAGCGGAGCTGGCTCGAAGCTCGGTTCGCAGCTGCTCCCCAGCTAGGATGCTCACCGTGGGAGAGGCAGACAGTCAAATCTGAGTCAAAAACTCTTTTTTTTTTAAAAAGAAAGCCCCATTAGAAGACCCAGCCGTTTAAGGCGGTGAGCTTTGCGAGCTGTCACAGCTCAGATCCAATTTGTCCCTCTCTAAAGGGAGTTTATCTTTGTGTACGGGAGCTCTGAGAGAGAGAAAAGAAAGTCAATGCCTCCCATACGGAGCGAGCTCTGGCTCTGTGGCCGAGTGGTTCTTGGGAAGGAAAGGAAAAAAAAAATAAAATAAATAAATGAGCCTGGCTTCCCCCGTCCAGCACCACAAAATGTCTGCTCCAGAAACGTGATGAGAACAGGGAGAGCCCGACGGGACCCGAGCTCCTCATCCTCGCCTGTCAGCCGAGACCACCCCAGCCTCAGCAACCCCCTTCTATTCATGTCCTTCTCCCCCCACCCCATCAGCAGCTCTCTGGCTGCAGGGGAAGGCAAAGAAAAGGCTCCACTCTGCAAGAGAGACGATAAAACCCACCAAAACTACCATCAGCATCGGAATGAGGAGGCCAAAGAAGCTGCCGAGTGCCTCCGTCGGTGCCTGAAACGCTTCGCGAGGGATGCCATCGAGGGAGGACGTCCCAGCTACCGATGCTTTCGAGGCAAGGCAGAGCTGGGGGTTTTGGCAGCCGGCGCCTCCCGGAGGGCCGGGATACTGCGATGGATGCAAAAGGGTCAGGGGAGATGGCAGAGCCCCAAAACCCCACGGGGGTTGGCTTCCTCCATCCTCCCCCTGGCCAAGCGGCTCCGGGGCTCGCAGGGATGTGTTTGTCAAGGCGACTACGAAAGCAGAGCCCACGTTACATCCGAGTGGTCGCTCCATCATCCCCTGGCTGCTCCTGCGGCTTTGCTGCTTGGGGTTTGCCAACCAACCCTCCCGGCCAGCAGCTCTGGCAAAGCCACCACCGGGACCGTGCCAAGGAGGGCTCGGAGGAGCATCCCCGGGCAAGCAGTGACCGCGGCTCTCCCAGCCCCTCTCCATCCCTCCGGATGGATGTCACTGCATCCCACCGGGATGTATGGCCACCTACAACCTATATAGTTATATAGGGCCAGTAGCCTCTTGGCAGGGCGAGGAAAGCGGGGCTGCTCCGGCGCAGGTCCACCCCTCCAGCCCCCGCCACCGAGGGCCCAGCACTCACTTTCCACCGTAGCGCCTTCGTTAGGGTTGGAGTAACCTTCTCCTTTCCTCTTGATCCTCCGGATTATCCCTCCATCCTCAAACAAGTCCTCGCCTTTGAAGTCAAGCAGCTCGACCTAAAAAAAAAAACAACCCAACAAAAATAATAAAAAATAGTATTAAAAACAATAAAGCAAAGGTGGGCAGAGCTCGGGGAGGCGGGGAAGGAGAAGAGAAAAACAACAGGGAAGCCACAAAGCAGCAGTTCATCGTCCGGCTGGAGAGCCAAGCCAGCTAATTCTCCATTCAGCCGATGAGCAGAAGTTGCCCATAAAAACCAGCTCCAAGCCACAGCATAATACACCCGATTTATCAGAAATTGGGACACATCCAGTACCTGAGGCGTAACACAAAGTAACAGTAAAAATCAGTTTATGAAGCCTGTAAGGGTACAACACAGCCGGTGCCGGAAGATGCTGTGAACGCTGCCCAGGACCAGCGTGGGCAGGATCCCCTTCGTTCTCCGAGGGGACCAGCCCCGACCCACAGCTTAGTCCCCACTCAACGTGGAAGGACTAAGCCTTAATTTAGGACAGACCCATTCCTCCCACTCCACCGCCTTGTCCCGACGAGCCCTGCCCAGCCACCGCACCGTGCCAAACCCTCCATCTCCCCA